GCTACTGTCCTGTGCCCGCGCGCGTGCTGCGCGCGCGCACTGCTTGATGCGGAAGTGGCTTTCGAGGCCCGAGGATGTCGAGAGCCGACGGCTGGGACGGCTCGAGAAGGCCGAGAAAAGGGCCAAAAGCACGCACGCATGGCCTAACAGAAGGGTACGAGCCCGTATGCGAGGCGCACGAGCACGAAAGTCCCAAGTGAAGGCAAGCACTCGGGCTTATCACACGGGATCAAGACGCACATGGGCGAGACCAGGATATCCTGCAGGTCGACGACGAGGATTAGGTGAGACCCGATATGAGGAAGGTTCGAGAGGCCTCGTGAGGCAAGGAATAGCATCCGACCAAGCACGCGGGGGTGTACGTGGACGTTATGCGCGATCACACGAGGCGAGCCGAGGAGCGAAGATTCTAGAAGATTGTTATTAGATTAATTATTTAATAGTATTTTAGAATTCATTTTGTTAGTTAGTTAAATTAGTGGTCAGATTAGTATTAGTTAGCGTAAGTGTAATTGTTAGTGGTTAGGATACATATATTTAGTTAGATTTGTTAGTTTAGGTATTGTTAGTGGCGTGAGTTAGTTTATATATTTAATTAGCCATAGGTAGTTAGTAGAATTTTATATTAGATAGGTTAATAGTTTTTAGTAGCCGTGAGGAATAATACTCACGTGGGCTAATTAGTTTTGTTAGGAGTTTATTTATTTTGTTAAGTGTTGGGATGCAAGACATTTAGTTACCTTAGGACTAGATATTATTGCCTAGTTAGAATTATATTTCTTATAGGACTAGATCTAGTTTCTCCTATAAATACCCATGTACTCTTATTATTTTTCATGTCGAAGAGTTAATAGAAAATCGTTCGCAAGAGCAAAACCGTGTGTTTAAGATTCGTGAGAGTTTTATCATACAAACCGACATTAGTAAGGCTAAGACCCGAGCTATCTCAATTATCGTGAGAAGATTAGGCTAATAACCGAGTTGTCCACACCTATCGTCAAGAAAGAAGCCTTGGCAAAGCTTAGTTCGAGACAAACGAGTTGAGCGGGATACACGATCTTCATCATTGGTGCTCTCATTGAGAGGTGATTGATCGTGTATCAAGTTAAACATTTCTTTTTCTTTCTTTTTTTATTTTTCTTTCTTCTTTTCCGTTAGTTGAGTATCACAAAAAAAAAAAAACACTTTTCCTATGAATTTTTGTAAGT